GAAAAAAGAAATATATATAATCTTTATGCATAATTATACCGTGACAAATCAGCCCAAAAATGGACAGGGTGATCTAATATTCTGTAACACAACATACATTTGTTCAGGGGAAGAGTTGAAAAGAAGTGGAGTCATTAAGCGGAAACAGAGGGAAAATGGTCCAAGTCTTGCACTTCAACGCCTCCTTCCTCCCATGGGAGATAAGATACAAGCAATTTTTGGAGAAACAGCTATATCAGGAGCTGAAGAGAACAAATTTGTTCCCTTATCAAATATAATCTTTCAAATACTAAATATCGATTCAAATACTAGTAATATTATTAGATTTAAAAATATGTAATAATGGTTCAAAGAACCACGCACGCTAACTCTCGATTCCCGCCTACATTTTCTGTTCTCCCCCTTGCACCCATTTAATTCGATATAAATGGCAGTTTGGCCATTAAAACTTGATTGAATGCAAAGAAGAGTTCATTATTAATTGATTGATAATTTTAAAACCAGTGTCAAAAACTTAATTGCTCTTATTTACGACTCTATTCAAAAGGGGGGTTGAAAATTTTATCCATTGAAATCATGCTTTAAAAATCGCTAGATTTTCAAAAACTTATTTTAAATTCAAGATAAAAGATTGAAAAAGACCTCATTTTATTTGTAATTTCATTTGAAATTGGTCATAAGGTGACCAATTTTGCAGTTTTTGTCCATAAACATATGTTCTCCCCCTTGAAACAACAAAAGCTTCGGTAGGAATTTGTGAAATAACAATTCAAAAAAAACCCATAAAAAGGAATTTTTATTTCACGGGGGGGGGGATATGTTTTAAAAATATTTTCCGTTTTTCGTTGATTTCTATGGTGAAAAACGCTATTTTTACCAGATTTAAAGAGTTACATGTATCTCTCTTTGTTTTCCCAAATAAGTTACGTTTTACGAAGATTCACATAAATATCTATATAAATATGAAAAATCATTCAAATATGGTAACTTCTGAAATTTGACTTGGAGGTAGGCGGCAGACAATACTATCGTTCGCAGTTCTTATATGCAAATTTTTGTAACACAGACAATAGCGTATGTAGCGTGGATTTTTTTGTTTACAAGATAGTGCTCTTTATAAATGATGGGAAATTAATCCAACATGTGTACCGTCTACTTTGTAGTAACATTGGGAAATCCACGAATTGTGAGAAATCAAACATTTTTAAGTATAATGTATTTGTAGTTCCAACTTCAACAATGGACATTTTTATTTACCTTGTATTAATTTTGACCAGTGATAAAGACGCATCTCTGACAATTCTTAAAATCCCTTTCTTAGCTATTACATACAAAGTAAAGCAGTTATAACCTGAAGGGATCACAATCATTCATATACTAGTAGTCTTTTGGATTTTTTTCTCTCCCTGGACACACACAGTATCTCTCTGTAAGAATCCTTGTACATGTATCTACAGCCGTCATATTTAGTTCCTTCCTAAGTCATTGATTTGCTTGTCTTAAAGTTACGAATAACTTAGGAATATCCTAAGATAAGACGAGGTTAGTGAAACGGATAAGTAATGAACTTAGGAAAAAGTTCTTTCCTAAGATACAACTTAGTCCTAAGTTAGCTTTGTGAAACGGGTCCCTGGACGACATGCATTTGTACAAAATAATAAGAAAAGGCAAGTTGAACTGGCATTTTGAGTTGATAGATTATTTAGTATTATAGGTAACTACGTAATTATCGTTGTTGAAAATTAATAAAGAGCTTATAATCTTGGTATATATTCTTAAGAAGTGGGAGAGGGGTACACGAGGGCTGTGTCCCACAATAATTATATATGACAATATGTAAAAAATATAGCTACTTTATAATTGTGTTCCCTCAATATTAACATCAGATGACCCCTCCCCTTTGTGCTTGTCAAGGATTTTTTGCCCGGTAGACCCCCCCCCCCCGGAAATGTTTGGTGTAAACCCCCCCCCCCAAAAAAAAAGAAAAGAAAACAAACTGAAATTGTTTCCTACGGGCCTGTAAGACGAATGTTTCGTTAAATCAAGAAGACAAGCGAAGAAATAAATGTAGTGAAATTCGCTTTATCAAATTTATTGTATTTATGCAAATTAGGCAATAATATTGTTAAATCAGTCCGTGTTAATCATATGCTCTCTCCTGTGTTCGGTCATCCAAACATTTTGAAGATCTAAATCTAAATTAGCATATTTGGTCATAGACAAGGGCTTAGAATACAGAGAAATAATAGAGGAAATTTCATCAATATAATAGTAAATCAGTGTAAATCATTGTATCGTTGATTATCATTCATTGCGTTCGATTAAATATTATCTCATTTAAAATCCGATCACTAAATTATCTAAATATAATGTGAAAAACCTCAGGACAATATACTAGCTGAGATACTTCATTCTTGGATGAAGACCTAAAACATATATCAAAAAACTTTCTAAAGAATAGCATAATCAGTCAACGCAAGCAATTTCTTGTAGAGAGTTTTTTTTTTCCGAATTAAATCAGTGGCCCCATATGTAAGGGCAGAGCCACGAAGGGTCGTAAAACGGGGAGGGGGATTTAAATACAAATTATAATCTGCTTATTGATTGCACATGCAGGAGTTGAATTACAGCTAAGGAAAACAGAATTGGGTCATTTGAGTCTTTTCAAAAACCACTTGGTAAGAAAATCAGAAAAAAGAAGCTTTCTTGTTCAGTTTAGATTCAACTGTTGAAGTTTAAAAAAGATGCATGTAGTTGTATACATGTACACATGTTGGAGATGGGCTTGGAAAACAGAAAACAAATTGTCAAAATGCAGGAATACAAATTGAAATTATTTTGCAAACATGCATCTTCATAAAGCGTGAATAAAAAAGTAACGCGACAGAGGGGTATATAAGATTTCTTTTTAAATATTGTATGAATAAAGAACTTTCGGATTCAAAGCTACTAAAATCAAGGCTCATCAGAACAAATTCAGGATCTTCCCACAGGAAAAAAACAGAGTTAAATTCAAGGGACCCTTTTGTTGACCTGTTTGCTATTACGATTTCTCCGTGTTTTATTTTGGTTTTTAAGCATGGTACAAATGATATAAACTTTGTTTTAATCGGATTTCTGTCAGTTTATCCAGTAAAATCCGAATATTAGAATTTTTGGAGTCAGTGTCCTTTAAACGCTTATTATGTCAAAGCACATGACAGTGACAACTGCTGAACTGGCGGACTGTGACAAGATAAATTCTATCAAGAAAGTTAAAAACAACAAAAGGAATAGACCTGACACTTAGTTAACAGGTCTTGTTAAGTCAAATTAACTAATCTTGTTTATGTCATCTGATCCAGAGGTCGTTTGATATTTGAGCCAGAGGTTGCGAATGCAAAGGTACAAAAAAAAAATCTCCTAAGAAAAATAGTTATGTACAGTCACGTACCTTTAAAAGAATATTGTATTAAATGATAACTTCATGATCTTGATAATCATACCGCTGTAGGAGAGACGTAACTTTTCTTGTTATTTATGTTCACAGGCAAATTTGTTTTACGGTGTAACCGTTTGGGCTAGCGCAGATTCACACAGCTTCTCTGCTTAAGGCCCTTTCAAAATTGGTGCATGAGCACTTTACAACACTTTTTGATCGGAATATTATAGATTCGCACAAGATCTCACATATGTTGCGCAATGTCTTGCATGCGTTTTAGTGGTCCCATCAAGTCTCCTCAAAATAGTGGACATGCACACTATCAGACGCGACCTATTGCGATCCAAATTATCGCAATGCATGCACAAACATTAGTACAAACGTCTTACAATGTTTTGTGTACTTGCAAAAAAGAATTTTTAAAAGCCATACTAAGATGAATCGCAGCTGTCTATGTGTGTGTTTTGCAACCATGAGACTGTTGCTCAACGTGTCTCATGTAATCTTGCAACGTTTTACTATCATTGCATGATTTGTCAGCTTCAATTGGCCACTAGTATATATACCCTGTATAAGCATCTCTGTTCCAGCTAGACCACAATCGACCATGGATGCTGCTGCATCTTCTCTCGCATTCAACTATGTCAATTGAAGAGCGTCGGAAATGGGCGGTATATATACTCATCTGACTCGCATGAGCATTGTACCATGGATCGTCTGAGCGCTGCACATCCAATCGCATTGGCATAGCTCAATCGTCCGATCACTTGATCACTCATGGGATCCTATCGCATTATCTTACAACACTCGCTTTCATTGTACATTACAGTCGCATATAGACGCAAGATATATATTGCAAGATTTAATGCGTTTGCATCACACAACGGTCGCTTTAGATCATGCAAATTTTGTACGAATACTTTTTCATTTGTGATTATTTCAGCCACAGTTTACGATCCAAATAAAAATGTTGTCGCTTCTGCTCATGGGCCAATTGTGAAAGGGCCTTAAGTTACACTTGCAACTTTGATCCAGGATCTGACCCTTTAAACTTCAAATTGAATGAGACACAGTCTAAACTGTGACATCAAATGACATTGTTTGTAAGTTGCATGTCTGTAACGGAGTCTAAATAGACCAAGAGCAGTATTCTAACAAAAGGCAGTATAGAGTAGATGCAACTGATTTTTGTTCCTTTTTAGCTCCCAGCATAAAGTAAATCTTTACAAAACTGAGGGACTGTTATATTTGCCATTAGGCCTACCGCATGGAATCCTGCAGGTAGCAAGGATTCTGAGAAGGTTGCACAGGAGAATATACAGATTTCATTCTGAATTTCCTCTTTTCTTACACGTTAGTCCATTGAGCTTGCTGCACTAGCTAAAATGTGCAAAATGTAAAATACATGCTGTAAATTTGCATATTTTCAAAAAATCCATATCAATTTCTTGATTAAGATAGATGTACAGATTCATTTGTTAATGTGATCAAAATATTTTTTTTCCAAGATGTTTTTCAACCTAAAAATTGTGTATAATATCTATTAATTTAATTTCAGCAGATTGTGTTCCTAATGACATAGACCGTCCACATCATGGCCATGCTAGGATTTAGCACCCAGTGTAAAGTACGGCAGTGTTTTCAATGTCAGGGGGACACAGAATTCTTCTGTAACATATGTAAACATGACCTGTGTCTACAGTGTAAAGAGAGACATGTTATTAATTTAAATACCATATACCATGACGTTGTAATTTACCGTGAGAAGTATGAATACATCCCAAAACAAGAGACCTGTGTGAGACATCCAGATAAAATGTATGAAATGTACTGTCAATCTTGTGAACTTCCTGTCTGTTTCCAATGTAAAGAACATAGAAAGCACAGAATAGCGGACATCAAATTCAGGACATCGTATAAAACAAACCGTCAACAGCACAGAGAAATCATTCATAACATTAGAAGTGATATTCTCTATAAGAGTTGTTTTCTTCTGGCAGGAATCAAAACTGATATAAAAACTTGTCCAGTGGAAATCTCTGACAGTCACTCAGAGATTTCAGCGAAAGCCCAGAGACTAAAGAACCTCATTGACACTGTGATATGTGATGTTAAACTCAAACAGAAATCATTCATGATGCATAGGTTACAACAACAGATGAGGAAAATGAACAGAGAACTTGCCTGCATAGAGAATTATGAACACAGATCTGAACAATTAGCAAACAAACCAGTAAAGTCCCTCTTATTCATGAAGAAAATTCATGTCCCCAAGGGCACTCCAAATTTTACACAGCACACCCTGATCTCTCTCACTGAAGAAATAAAAATGGAGGATATGATTAAGTTGCTGAGTGAAGTTCAGATCATAGAAACTGCAAGAAAAAGACAAGTAAAACGTGAAGATCTGCTGTACCTATTGTCTAGACCAATATTAAACAGATCTGTCACAGTGACAGGTATTAGACATATAACACACATTTCCTGTGTGACATCAGACCTTGTCTGGGTCAGTGACGTAAATACATGTAATATCATGTTGATAAACACAGAGGGTGATACACTACATCATCTGACAGATATACATGCATTAAATTTATGGGGTGTACATACTGTGAACTTGACCTGTGATCTTATTTATATAGACTGGTATGGTAACATTAACAAATTATCTAAAGACAACACAACTAAGTGTACATTGATAAAGAAAACAGAAATATGGGAACCACGTTGTATCTTCTGTTCTCCTTCCAATGGAGATTTACTAGTAGTGATGTATAGAGATGATCCTATAGAAATAGCCAAGGTATCACGATACAACGACACAGGACAACTCATACAGACAGTACAAAACAATAACACAAAGCAGAGACTGTATCTAAGACCTAAGTGGGTCACAGAGAACCGCAATGGAGATGTTGTTGTGTCTGATGATGACCGTGTAGTGGTGACAGAATGTGGAGGAAGACATCGGTTCTCCTATACAGGACCTCCATCAGGATCAGGACTGGCACCACTAGGAATCTGTACAGACGTGATGTCACACATCCTGGTGTGTGATGATAACACCAATGCAGTACAATTGATTGACAAAGATGGCCACTTTCTTTCACTGATACTGACACAACAAGAAATAGACAGACCAGTGAGCCTGAGTTATGATGATAAAACTCACCTACTCTGGGTAGGATCATGGTTGAACAACCAAGTATGTGTATACAGATACATAGAGAGAGAGAAGATTTAATATAACAGGTAACTGTTATTGGTTAATTAGATACCTGTACACAACTACAAGACTATCTGACAAGTACATGTAACTGTAGTGTACCATAATTAGCTAATTACTAGTCTTGTGCATATATGTATTTGTACAGGTATCAGTTCACATATATACAGGTAACTGTAATACATGTTGGTTAATTAGATATTTGACACATTGTAATTCGTTAATCTATTAAAGGTACATGCACACATAAATACAGACATATGACTCTATGACAGTGATTGTAATTAGTAAATTACATGTGGATACATGTACACATTGTTAAAAAAACAGGATTATGTGACAGATCATTGTAATTAGTTAGATACATGTACACACAGACACAACTACTGTGATAAATTAATTACTCATGCAAACACAGACACAGGACTATTAGATATGTTATTGTAGTTAGTCACTGTAATTACATGTAAATATATATAAATATACTGCATACATAAAGACACAGGACCATCTGATAGCTAATTGTTACTTTGATAGAAATACTATTTAGTGAGTATTCTTTCTTATTTGTATCTTAAGATTTTCATTTTTTGAGTTACTTTTTTTTAAACTCTATCCAAATGTTGCATTTTTTGAAAGATAAGAACATGTGCATGCTAAGAAACATATCACAGTAGTTGATACTTGAAATTGTATAAAGTTAGTTGTATTTATTTAGTTATATATGTATGGCTTATTCTTTGAGAATATTCTGTTTCATTGCCAGTATAACATCAACAGACTGTATATTTCTTAAAATTACATCTTTAGAACATTATATAATTACTGATGTTTTTTTTTAATTCCTTAACATGGATCAAAGGAGAAATTAGATGTGGGCTAAACCTTAATGAGTCAAAGTCCTTTAAAAGTTGTGTAAAAAGAGGTATAATTGTTATTCCAAGTCTGTGTAAAATTTTTGTTTTGAAAAGACAGAGAGAAAAGCAAACAACTTACAAGCAAACAAAACATACTATGTTTTAATAATTTTCCTAATCATCAGGAAATTTCCCCCATTTTTTTTTTCTTTTGCAGAATGATTATGCCCTCATGTTTTGGACTGAGTTTTTAAAACCCAACTTAACCATTGCGTGAAGAAAAGAAAGATATTATTAACATTACAAATTTAGCAATGTGCTTGTGGATAATTCAGCCTGCACAGGGTTTTTTTTTCAAGGGGGAAGGGGTCTTCATGTACACTGCACATGTCCAAAGACATTTTTGGTAGGCCTAGGGAGATTATCTCTTAAACTATTCAAATATTTGTAAAAAAAAAAAAAAAAAATTAGCTTATTTGAGATGAAATATTTCACATTATGTTCACATTTTGATCATTTTTGACTCCTTCCCTAGAGCCACTAGGCTAATTCATAGTGATATGCAAAAGCATCTCCATGAAGTGCAGATTCAAGGTTATTCAAATCATTACCCCAGAGGTAGGATGAGGCCACAATTAAAGATGTAGGTTTTACATTAGAATGTACAGAAACTGGAAATATGTCCATACTCCATAGGAAAAATCAGTTAATTAGCTCTCATCAGTATGTATCAGCAAATGAAGTTTGATTAAATATCTTTTTTATAGGTTTTATGAAATTGAGCTAAATGCAAATTTAAGAAAAGAAAGGTCTAGGTCAAAGGAAAAGTCACGATAAAATTGTTGAAGTTGTTGAATAGCTCTCATCAATATGTATCAGCATATGAGGTTTGATAAAGATATCTTGATTACTTTCTTTAAAACTGAATTAAAACACAATTAATAGTGAAGTCAAAGGTTATTGGGAAGATCAAGGTAAAAAAAAATTGGACAGAATTTGGTGAAACTAAGTTCTCACCAAATTCTGTATAAGTGCATAAGCTCACATTAAAATATCTTCAATATTTTCTTCCAAATAAGGCAAATGCAAATTAAAGAAAAGTGAGGTCATGGTCAAAGGAAAGGATAAGTTAAAAAAATGTTGATGCAGCTGAATATTTCTCATGTATCAGCATATAAAGATTGATAAGAATATCTTGAATAGTTTCTTTGAAACTGAGCTAAACACAAATTTAAGAAAAAGTGAGGCAAGGGTCGAAGGAAATGTCAAGGTCAAAAAATGTTTATGCAGTTGAATAGCTCTAGTCAGTATGAATATGCATATGAGGTTTGATAAAAATACCTTGAATAGTTTTTTTAGCTCACCTCAATGAAGTTGGGGGAGCTTATGTAATACCGTCGGCGTCCCAGGTTAAGGTTTTTGGAGCAGTTTTCTTTTCAAGTACTTCTATGGCCTATATTAGTGAGAGATGCATGGAGGATGCTTCTAGTGTGTTTCATTGTACCAGTCAAGGTTTCAGATGCTGCAATTTCAGCTAAAGAATGACCAGGTTAATGTTTTTGGAGCGGGTTAAAGTTTTTGGAGCAGGTCTCATTTCCAAGTTACTATAAGCCCTATATTGACCAAACTTGCATGGATGATACATCTAAGGATGCACACTACTGAACTTGCTTCAGATGCTGGATCTGACCTACATTTTCCGGATGAGTAACCTGGTTAAAGTTTTTGGAGCAGATCTCATTTCCAAGTAACTATAAGCCCTATATTGACCAAACTTGCATGGATGATACATCTAAGGATGCACAAGTACTGATCTTGCTTTGGATGCAGGATCTGACCTACATTTTCCGGATGAGTGACTAGGTTAAAGTTTTTGGAGTAGATTTCATTTCCAAGTAACTATAAGCCCTGTATTGACCAAACTTGCATAGATGATACATCTAAGGATGCACACTACTGGACTTGCTTCGGATGCTGGATCTGACCTAAATTTTCCAGATGAGTGACCTGGTTAAAGTTTTATGAGCATATCTCATTTCCAAGTAACTATAAGCCCTATATTGACCAAATTTGCATGGATGATACATCTAAGGATGCACACTACTGGAATTGCTTTGGATGCTGAATCTGACCTATATTTTTCGGATGAGTGACCTGGTTAAAGTTTTTGGAGCAGATGTCATTTCCGGATTAGTAACCAGGTTAAAGTTTTTGGAGCAGATCTCATTTCCAAGTAACTATAAGCCCTATCTGAACCAGACTTGCATGGATGGTGCATCTAAGGATGCACACTACTGGACTTGCTTTGGATGCTGGATCTGACCTACATTTTCCGGATGAGTAACCAGGTTAAAGTTTTTGGAGCAGATCTCATTTCCAAGTAACTTTAAGGCCTATCTGAACCAAACTTGCATGGATGATGCATTAAGGGACGAACAATCTCAAACTTGCTTCGGATGCTGGATTTGACTTACATTTTCTGGATGAGTGACTAGTTTTAAGTTTTCAGATAAGTCTATTCCCAAGTAACTGCAAGCCCTATCAGACCAAAATTGCATAAATGTTGCATATAGGGATGTACACTCCAAGGTTATTAGTTATGTGTGGGACTTTGCCTTACTTAAAGACAACATTCGTTGAGGTTAGCTCTGTAATCTCTGATTACCTATGTTTTGAAACTGAGCTTAATGCAAAGTATAATGGAAGTACAGAAAGATGGAAGACAGATGAGACAAACACTTTTTTCCCCGGCCATATTTGTAGGCATAGATTCTTCAAGAAGTTCTCTGGAACAGCAGAGGTTTACCAAGTAATTAATAGTTATATTACTATATGTAAGCAGCCTCAGGCAGTGCACATTAAATTTTACCTAAATCCGTGTCCAGGCAATGGGATGGGGCAATACTTTGGGGTCAGAATTTTCTTTAAGCATAAAGCGGGAAAAAAGTTTATGAAAAATCTAAGGAAGAAAGTAGGATAATGTTGAATCAGTTGAGTCTTATGGGACATGGGTCTCCTGTTGCTATTATAGCAATGTGCCAACAGTTTGACTTCTAGATGTTCAGGATTGAATTAATTTTGATGGTTCTTACGAATCCTTGGGCCCCGGGGAGACCTCAAGACCATGAAATTTATAATTCTTGGCTCACTGTGCCCATAACTACATGCACAATATACGAAAAATGTTTTGAATTTGGCTCAGTTGTTCCACTTAAGTAGTTGAAATGAGAGACTTTTTTGTGTAAGAATAGTTTATTTTTGGAAAAAAAATCAGCACCAATAAATAAGGATTTATATTAAAGAGTCTATGAAATTTCCAGATATACTTGACTATCCCATCCTCAGAGGGCGAAACAGTGCAATGGATTAATCGAAGAACCCTCTTCTTGAATTTATTAAAGTACTCTCTTCAAGGGATCTTGTTCTTTTTTCTTGCTTATGTGGCATTTCTTGTCTTGTTTTGTCTCGATATTTTCTTTCAGATTTGCATGATCGTCTTCAAGGGGATTGGACATGTTCAGGACAATTGCACTTTCAACTTTAATTCATAAATTTTCGCCACCAAAGACTTGACTTTTCCGATTTTTACCTCTCGTTCACTCTTAAAAAATTCAGCATGTATGCTATGAAAAAATTCTTCCTTTTCCAGACCAGTGTCACATGGTTTGATATTCTTTGGAATCTTTTTGCCATTAACTTCATGGAGCTTTTTAGCTCACCTGAGCCAAAGGCTCAAGTGAGCTTTGCTGATCAAAATTTGTCTGTTGTCTGTCATCGTTGTTGTCGTTGGCGTAGTCGTTGGCGTTGTTGTTGTTGTAAACTTTTCACATTTTCATCTTCTTCTCAAGAACCACTGGGCCAAATTCAACCAAACTTGCCACAAAGCATCCTTGGGTAAAGGGGATTCAAGTTTGTTCAAATGAAGGGCCAAGCCCTCTTTCAAGGGGAGATAATTAGGAATTAGTGAAAAAATGATGGCATCATTTAAAAATCTTCTTCTCAAGAACCACTGGGCCAGGAAAGATGAAACTTATGTGGAAACATCCTCAGGTAGTGTAGATTCAAGTTTGTTCAAATCATGACCCCCGGGGGTAGGGTGGGGCCACAATGGGGGATCCAAGTTTTACATAGAAATATATAGGAAAATATCTTTAAAAATCTTCTTCTTAAGAACAGTAAAGCCAAGATTGGTCATATTTATATGGAAG